TCGCGCTACATGTAAGGGAAACACGAGCAGCTCCCCGAAAAGGAGGAAGAACCGTAAGAACCGGGCGCCCCCACAACCGCATCCCCAGCGCTTTTCTTATGAGGCTTTCGGAAACTTGGTCCGGCAGCGCAGCGCAGACACGCGAACTGGTTTAACCCTTGCGTGCATTTATTACCAGTGACCCGCTCAAGCGAGCTCACCCTAGGCAAAGGGTAGAACTCATCTGAGCATGTCTCATTAGCGAAGCTCGTTTACATCCCAGTGAGTCGATTAAATTGATGCGTTACCCGGCGATAAGCAGGGGATAGGAAGGCAGAGTATCCCCGGTCCAAGCGCTGCCTGCACGTGCCGCCCCAGGGCATCCCAGCGCAGCCCCGGGAACGTCCAACTCCGCTCCCGCCAGGCCGGGGCTGGAGCCGCCGAGTTAAGGAACAATCCACCTGCTCATCTATGTTATGTTCTTGCACTAGATAATTCCAGTTCTAAAGTAAACCCCACCTTCTTGAAGTTATGCTTATTTCCGTTTTAAAATGTGAGAAAGTTGTGTTTTGATTGAATTCAAGTGCCCCTCCACTTTTAAAGCAACATACTGTAGTTTTGTACTGATATATGAGAATTGGTAGACAGAACTTGTTCTTTATCCCATACTACTCCTGGGAAATAGAACTTTAAGAAATAGGACATAGATATAACAAAAAAAATTTAGGGAAACGTAAGTTTGCTTAGCAATTTTAGAAATCTGATCTCTGTAATAGAAACAAAAGCCATTTTTTTAATCTCATCACCTCTTTAAGAATAATAATAATAATACCATCCTGAACCTTGAGCAACTACTAGACACTGGATGAAATATTACTACATGCAGTTGTTAGCAGCAGTTTCAAGCCAACTATTTGCATGTGTCTTCCGTGTAGGTCTCCCAAACTGTTTAACTTGCAAGCAACTTGGCTTCATAACCTCTCTGGGACCAGAAATTCTATCTGTCTTGCAAATGGGTAATGCAGTGGAAGACAGCTGCTAAGGAGAATGAGACTTGTTTTTTTTAGGAAGGTTTGGGGTTTGTTTGTTGTTGGTTTTGTTTTTGTTTTTTTTTTTAAGGAGAGTGGCATGAACTAAGGAATATCATTGTATTCATTTGTATGTCAGTAGTTACATCAGAACCAAATGTTTAAACATTATATCACTTTATACTCTAACTTTAAAGCTTAAAACGCACACTAACTAGAAAAAGTAATCTTAAAATAAATTGTCCATAAAACATCTACAGTTTTCCGGAAATACTAAATAATTTAGTTTATCCAATTAGCAGACAAAAAAACCAACCTCAAAGCAATATGCCATCATAGATTGACTTTGACTTGAAACATTAAATGAAAATGAAACACCTGGCAGCTAAGCAAAAAATAAGGCCATTAAACATAACTCTTCACTTTTGCTGATGAAAGGAAAACAATACATAATGAACATAATTAAAAGCAAAGTATTGGAAATACCCTGAACTATAAAGAAAGAATAATCAAGTACAAACTTATCCTTAAGTGACCTTTGCATTTCTAACCCTGCCACAGGCTTGAGAAAAGTGCAGAGCAAACAGAACAGACAATAACATTTGGATACAAAGAGGACAGTATGCATTAAGAAGGAGTGTTGGCCTGAAACTCTTGGACTCATCAGCTTTTAATGTTTTGCTAATAAAATAGATTGTGTTTAAATATTTTGTAGCAGAAGATGATTAGTCCTCAAAATTAACTAAATTAAATTGCTAGTAAGATGAAAAGTGTGATATTTGAAAACAATGCAACATCAGCCCTAATGTCTGTTCTGTAAAAGGTGGTGACAGGAAAAGGCATAGAACATAAACAGACTGATGTTTCCATTTTACTTTCCTTTCAGTTACAATATGCAGGAGTATTTAGCTTTTTCCATTTTGTAGCTTTTACCAAAATGAACACATTACATCTGTAGACATCAGTGCTGCACTATGACAGCAGTTAATGTAGAATTGGTATGTTTTGCATAATGACCAAAATACTCTTTGCAGGCTGTCAGTAAAAGATCAGTAAGTGTAAACTAATTTGGTGAACCAAAGTGCTGTGTTATCTATTTTAAAAATTTAGCTGTAAGGCAAAGTAACTGAAATATAATGAATATAACATTTTGAACTGATGGTTTTATGTTTTTTCATTTTGGGAGGGTTTTTTGTGTGTGTGTGTGTTTTGGGGTTTTTTGTTGGTTTTTGGTTGTTTGTGTTTTGTTTTGGGTTTTTTGTTTGTTTGTTTTTTTGCAAACTGCTGAAATTAGATCTTTAACATTTGGGGCATTTCTTTAAGACTTCATTTTTTATGATATAAAACCAATTGAAAGAACTAAATGAAAGCACTTTATATATCAGCTATGTAGCTGGTAAATATAACCATTTAAATATACATTCAGAAGTCCTAAATTCAGACTGAGCATTAGGGGCAAATTTACAACAACTTGCTCCATGCAGCTACAGACAGAGGTCTCTTTTCCTCTCATCTAACTCGTGTTTGTGATGCCCAAAAACTTAACTTGCTATTTTGGTTTGCAGGTTTTCTGTACCATTTGACAAGTTTTTACAAATTTTAGTATTTATTTAGTTTTGCAGCTTAAGGCCTCTCTGAGTTAAAGAAAGACTTCCAGTCATTTATTTAAGCATGAATTGTAGTTTTTTGAACATGAGTTTAATATTGTCTCACATTTTAACACCAATCATCATCACAAAAGAGCTGCACATAAAGTCCATGCAGGTTAAATCCCGTATCATTTTTGGTGCTTTCTGGAATCAAGCAATTTCATATTTTAAGGATATAAAATTTTAGGAGACAGTTGTTCAACATCTAAAAAATTTTTTTTAAAACATTTTTATTCTCCTTTTTTGTATTAGGATTTATTTGTATTTTGTATTATGCTAAACTATACACTGACTTTCATATTCATAAATACTTGCAATTTTTAATTTTTGTCATTCTGACTACTTCATACCCTTCTACTAACTCATCATTTATCTATACATAAATTTTGTTGATCTGGTTTTTTTTATCTCCATAAATGCTAACTATTCTGAACTGATAAAAAAAATGTCACTGATATCTCCACGCATTCAATACTCAAGCATTTAAAAAGGCACATTCTGAAATTACCATATCTGGATAAGCTTTAATGCATTTTTCATGTATATTCCTGTTCTACATTTGGTGGTGATGCTACTGTTCAAATTTACTTCTCAGCTACCTTTCTTGTATATGTTTTACAACACTAGATAGCTATATTTTTTTAAATCATCTCATACTTGGAGTTTGAATTTAAATGAGATAAATGTAGGCAAATATGACACTAGAGGTTCTTCATTATTTTATAAAATGTCACATTACAATAGTAAGTAGATGCATACAGAAATTATCTTAATAGCTGGAAGATTTCAACCATAATGTAACGCACAGTGAATTTCACCTTATTTACTTGTGTCAACTGTCTGTGTTAAAAGAGATAATGGAACTGTCACACATAAACAGTTCAGACACCACACTACAAAACTGGTGTAGAATGACTTTGTGATAACCTCTGCGACTTTTCTGAAACATAATTTAGTGTTTCATAGCTTTGGTATCTCAAAAGAATGGTACAATATATTCATTTAGTTCTTTCAGGTGTTCATGGTTGAGATGCAGTAGGTACAAAGCTTATTTGGAGTTCTCTGAATCATAATTTGAAGTAGTGACCAAGTAAATCTCTTCCTCAATTCTTGACTTAATGAGGGGAGATTATATATATATATATATGTTAAACAAATTAAAATTTTGTTTCTGGTACATGTACTGCATGGTCAAATCTTTCAGTTACCTTTTATTTTTTGTAGGCACTTTCAGTTTACGCTGCAGAATACCAAGAGATGAGATACTACTGCATTTAATATCGTGTTCCTCTTACTATTCAACAGAATGTAAGTAAGCATAATCCTTTAGATTCCAAAACTGCCAAAAAAAATATTTAAATTTGGAGATACAACAGCCTGGTAAGACAAGAAGCTCGTGCTAAAAATGAGCATGTAACTTTTCCACTACAAGCCCAACAACTGCTATTCTCATGAGCAGTATCTTACTAGAAATGATCAGTAATGCAGCATTACAGAACCAGTTGTATCCTCAGCATTCAGAACAGAGGCCCTGAAGTTGGCCTTCTTGCAACACAGTCCAAAGTTTTAATGCTTTGTCACAAGTGACTGTACCTAAAACTGGATAAGGAATTGCCATGTGATCAATGGGTTTCACATTTTAAAACTACACACAGGAAATCACAAGGCAACAGTATTCTGCAGCAGGTAATGTCAACAAAACCAAGACAGGCTGAAATGAACAGTAGTTCTGTCATTTCTCAGGCTCTCACTCTGTGCTGTGCTGCCTTTGGTAACAATGTTGGTTTAAGACACTGGTCCCTCTCCCTGCTCTGCCACTCACTCTTTCTCCTCTGTAGCTGCACTGCCCCCTCACTGGTATCGGCACCACTGCTTAGGGAGCTGCCCTGAGTACCAGGTGGGAATGCCATCAGATACATTAACAACTCTGACAAAAGCCTAACTGCACATAGCAGAAGAAAAGCCAGCCAGAAAGATCCGTGTTGGAATTTATATGTCCCCACTATCTGCAGTTTACGGCCACTGCCCTCTTTCTTCATGTGAAAGCTGCAGAATACAACAGTCTGAACAATAAAAGCTGTGCAAAAAGGATTTGAAAATGATACAACTATATATGCAATTTAATACACACCCAAAATAGTAACACTGTCATATGCTATATTTTAAAACTTTTACCTACAAGACAAGTGCCTGAACTAGGCTATAAATGAAGGAGTTCTTATTTGCTTTCAGAATGATTACATATCACTGTGTATGGGTGGGGTGTTATAATTTCAAGTATATATATAACAGGCAATGTTTTTTTCCACAAGTGAAAGGATCTAGGTGCCAATTTAATGGTGTAATCTTCTCTGGGGATGTCTTTTCAGTTATACATACTCAAAAGTCAAGTCCAGCATCCTCAGGGAAACTAAGCTGAACCTCAGCCTTTTGGATATGCCACTGAACCATATCTAAAAGAGAAGGAAAATCACTAGCCAGCAATTCTCTTACAGAGAAGACACAAAGTAAAGAGCCAGATTCCTACTTTTCCAACTATAGCTAAGCTCTTAGAGATAGTGGAGGCACTTGCCTATATAGGAGGACCAGAAAGTGCAAGAGGAATGAATGACTTAGGATTATTATTTTACTTTGTCCCAACATTACCTGGACAGACAGAGCCCATTTTACCATTCTCTTGCCTAAAATGTATCTGAAAGCACAGAGGGTTTGAGGGAGGTTGTTTTGTACTGTCAGAAAGGAATGAGCTTCCTTTATATGGCTTGTTCCAGAGATTCAAGTTCTTATGTGAGGGAAAACACATTATAGTGGAAGCAGTTATTCTCTTAGATACAGCAGTGGTAATGACACAAATTATGCAGAGACTCTTCTGTATTGAAATTTATTTTTCCCTGTTTAAATTTTAATGGATTCAGAAAAGTTATCCTAAGAATTGCAAGGGTTAAAAGTGATTTATGAGTTTCTCCTTTACGGTTTTATGTTAAAATGTGTAATCCCTCTAAAATACTGTGCTAGACACACCTTGAATTCTTAATTTAGTCATTTTCACCAGCAACTCATTTCACAAAATAATCTTTTAGGATTAAGTAGTAAGACAAAGGGGACTAAAAAAAAAATCCAAAAATGTCTGACTTTATGCTCTGGTTTGTTTTTTTTTTTAAATCTTAATGCAAAACATTTTGTGTTCTGACATACAAAACAATAATAATATTAAAATCACAATTTATTAGGTAAACACAATTTGAGCAGGACAGACTGGCTAGGCACCTCTTAATTAGGTATGGACTTCTGCAAATATCAGATTATAACACATGAATGATTTCTGAGTCAAGTGAATTTAATCATATGATTCTGTATTATTTCCAGTAGAAAAGCCAGCAGAAGGGCAAAAAACCTTATGCTTTTCTTGCAAAAAACCTCACAACTAAGCAAACAAACAAAACAAAAAAGCAAGCAAAACCACAACCAAAAAATAAAAAAAAAAGCCCCACTTTCTCTTGTGAACACAACTCTAATTCAAGAGCTAAGGATAGATTACTTTGATATTCTGCATAGGATAAGGTGAAAGGCTAAAAAAGGAAAACAGAAGTACAGAAATCATAGTTGTACACAAGTTGAAGATTGTCCTGAGTCTTTCAATTGACTGCTAAGTTAAAAACAAAAAAACCCCACCACAAACACACACCACACCACTAAATAAACCTTAAGCTGCCACAGTGCTCACACCCCAACCCTGGATAAAGGGGTAAACTGGGGACAAGCTACATGCCTTTGCATGACTTTAGAAAGTTTACTTCTATGCTGTTAGTTGCACTGCCCTATATAAATGCAAATACACAGCAAATTCAATTCAGGGAAAGACATATGCTCTAATGTCCTAATTTTTTACCTTACACTCCCAAGATAGAAATCCTGTCTTGCAAGTCAATCTATGAAAAATCATTTCAAGTGCTCCAGAGCTTCTGGTTAGTATGATCAAGTATTTTCAGAACTTCAGAACTACGTTGCTGATGTTAAATAACTGTTAAATAACGTTACTATATAAAGCCAATCGTTTTAAATTGCAGTTCCTGAATCAGAATGAAAGTAGTGTATCTGCTTGCCTCAGACAACTGTGGAAAACACTGACTTATACCTAAACAGGAGTCAGCCAGGCTTCAGAAGTCTCTTGCTGCAGGAAAGTATACTTGCATCTTGGAATAAAGAGGCATTTCCCAAGGCATATGCTTAGATTTTTGGTTTTTCTTAATGTTAGTGAGACCTACCTACATACCTAGCGTGAGTGAACTCTGAATTTCAGATCAAATTAATACAGTTGTGTCATTAAATACCTAATACAGGCTATACCATCTTTACTTAAGGTAAATACATTTCTCCAAAGAAATGAAAAAACATACAAATAACTCAGCTTTTGGATTTCAAAAGTTTGCAAGAACACAAATATTCTTTCAATTTTAGAAGTGTTTGGTTTGTTTTGTTTTTTTTTACACAGTGTAGTTTGATTTATACTTCTAAATTAAGCATAAGTGAATGTTCTAGAGATATTGTTTGACTTCTAGGATACAAACTAATCATGATAATATTTATAACCAAACATTTATATATGCACTTCAGAAAGCATAAATTAATAATGCTGTATTAGTGAAAAAAAACCCTAATGAATTGAGCTTGACTATAAATATCCAGCAGAGGAGGCTAGATCTGAACACAAATCTGATAAGACTCTTCTGATGTATATATATATTTAAATGATAGCATCGGAGGCATAAAAAATGTAAAACTCTGATAGGGTTAATCTGAAGAAAATATATTTTCTGAGGTTTTTGAACATTTAGAGAATGCAAAAAACTTGTGGGAGTTGGGCAGATGTTGAGAGGAAAAGTGTTTTTGTTTAGACAAAAACTTGAAGTCACCCTGAGAAGAAAAACAGAGACATCACATTAGGTTATTTTCTCTGTCATAATGCAGGTGGGAAACCAAGGCTGCTATGATATAATTGGCATTTTCTTCTCACCCCACCCAGTGAAATCCCCAAATCTTCCATAAGGGCAACCTGAGAAACACAGCCAAATGGAAATCACTTAAGAGTAGAAGCAGGTAAGACTTCCAGCCCCTCGCCCCTGCCTGATAAAGACACTCCACTCTCACTCTCTTATTGGGCAGTGTGTCAGTTTTACAGCCCTTCCACATTCTGCCTGTCTGAGCAAGAGAAGGTGACAGAGCCCTGTCATTGACACAGGGTCTGTGCACAAGCCTGGTACTGGTCACAAGTGCCAGGTCCACTGAACTTCACCTGATTTATAAGCAACTCAAGAACACAAAAGGATATGACCTAATTAAAAAAAAAAAACAACAGTTTCTCACATTAAAGTAGCTCATCTGGAAGTCTGCTTGACTAGAGCTTTCATCCCACAGATTCCTGCAATATCCAATTTTTAGTTTGGAAATACATCCAGAGATTACAAAAGAAACCAGAATACTTTCTTACAGAATCTTCATTCATTATGTGATTATAAATGGATATGGGCTAAACAGAATGCGTATATGCGGAGTCATTAGATGTATTTTTTCCAGCTGTTATCCAGCATGTCTTCTTTAAAAATGCTGATTGTGGCACTTTTACTGAATTGTGAATATATAGTTGCATTGTCTAAAGACGTCAAGATATTCTGTCTTGTATGGATATCTTTGAGACCATCAGAAATAACTAAAATGTTGGAATGCAGAGCACTTTTAATTAAATGTTAAACTTTCCTGAGGAAAAAACTCTGAACAAATATATCCAGGTAACATGCCCTGTCTATGCCTGGCATCACAGATGAAAATCTGTCAGATAAAAGGACCCTTTCAAGAAGTTATCCTTTTAGTCATCAGGTTATGGCAGCACCAAGATTCTTTAGTAAACAGATACAGGACCTAAGGGATGCCTATAATGCCGAAAGACCCAGATCTGAGCCACCTGATTTTTTAGCCTGTTTGAACAAACATGGAAAGCTCACTCTTACTTATGTTAGTGAATATCCAAGATACACACCCTTGTGAAGCCAGGGAGGTCTTGCTTCCATTTAGCAAGTTTCTTAAAGCTCTGAAGGAAAGTGAGGATTAAGAGCTAACTTTTCATCACCTAAATGATGCACAGGTCAGTATTAGGAAACTCAGGGGCATGTGATTTATCTGATTAGATGAGGACATTCACATCTGAACTAGTCATAAGAGGAAGATGGACACCTGATCAGGATACTCAGTGAATTTTAAAATAAGATTTATATAACTGCAGAAATCCAAAATTTAGGTTTTTGGTTCTTTTGTTGTTTGATTGGTTGGTGTCCTTTTGTTGGTTTTTTTTAAAGCTGTGATTTACTTGACCTGGTTCTTTTCAATGGCTACAATTACAGTTTTAACAATACTCATCTAAAGGCAGGTGAAAGAGGTTCTACATGAAGTGTTTATGATACAGGGATTCCAATCCACTCAGCAGCACAGCTGACTGTTAATGCAGTGAAGTGGGAGTTAACACCACCTGAACACAGGCCCATTGCATACACATCTAACCATGCACTTGTAAGCACAGGTCCCAGATTAATCCAAAATGGAACCTGACAAAAAAAAAAGACTGTTCTGGGAGGAGCAAGTCTGCTCACTGTTCCTCAGGCTTCTCACATTTTACATTTAAACATTATTGAGTAAAATCCATGAGGCAGTCTTGGAAGCAGGGATGAGATCCAGCTCTCTCCTTTCCCTCTTCCTCTGGGAATCCCAGTGCTCAAAGCATTGTAAAAACTAACTCCCCCTTTTTCCTTTCCCCAGCAAAAGTGATCCAGGTTGTCTTCAACAACAGAGGGTGTTAAGTCAGTGTCCCACCATTTTCAATCATCTGCTCCAAGTCTGAATTCCCATGGACTACGTTTAGAGCTCTTGCTGTTTTTAATGGTGCTCAAAACAATACACATTGCATCTGTAACTGTTGTTTTCTGTTGTATAGTATTGTATGGCTCTGAGCATGTACCATCCAGGAGCTTCATAACAGCATCCCAACTCCCAGCACAACCAGTTTAGACTGGGACTCACTTGTTATTTGGCAGTTTCCATCTCTCTGTTGTTTATACTGGGAGATAAGCAGAAAGAATAATTTTTAGCAAACATACTCACTTTCTAAGCACTCTTCTCACCACCAATTTTAGACTCTGGCTATTATCAGTAGAGAATTGATGAACAAACTTTCCTATTAAGGAAATTTGTAGTACTGGTATTATCTTGCTCCTGGACAGTCCAGTGGTAACATGATATACTGGAAATGTGACTTAGCAAAGAGTTTAAAGAGCCCATGGGACCTGAAGCCATTGGTACGTGGTCACATGTGTCCCAAGACATATTTTGTTGCTCACAACAGCAAGACAGAAATTCTATTTCAAAGCACTGACATTCCCCACCCTGTATATTTACTAAAGCATTTAAAATCTAGGATTGTCTCTTCACTACAACATGAATTAACTTCTTGAGCTATTTGATAAGAGAGGAAAAATATGAAGAATGCTAAAAGGTGGATGGATGTACTAGTCATAGCAGTTCCTCTGGCATATAGGAGGTAGAGCACATTATTTCATAACACTGGCAAGTCATACAAATATCACTCTGGAAGAGGTGTGGAGGGACCTAACTTCCTAGAAGATGAGAGTATGAAGCAGGCATGTAATATATTGTCCTTTGTTCACAGGTGTGAAATAGGTGATAGTTGATGTAAGTTTTAAAATAATTATTCATTGCTATAAATTGACACTGACAAGTTTGATGTGGAGAACTACAGCTAGCAAAGTCAGGAAGTAAGAAAGGTGAGAAACAAGACTGTGCCATAAGGTGTCAAATGTAAAGATAACCTCCCCCTCCCCTGAAACCCTGTTGAATCAAAGACAATGAATACTTTAGAACCCTCAAAAGGGAACAGACAGGAGTCCCAGGCACCAGGGTGTGTTATCAGCATAGGAAACTAGAGAACACAACGATCTATGAGTGAACTGAGTCCCAAACAGTGCTCTTCTACACCACAGCACGCTTCTGGGGAACTGCCTTCACATTATTATCATTTAACTTTGGAAGCTGGTTATATCTGCCTCAGATCTACACATCTGCTCTGCTGATAAAAGGACCCTTTCAAGGGTCACTGTTTTAGACTGTGACTGTTTCTACTGTGACTGTTAGCTGAGTATATAACACTAGTAATGTTGGTAAGAGGAATGTCATGCAGGCACAAAGAACATTTTGGTCAGTCAGGTTGAGTTAAGCTCTTGGAAAAGATTGGTTTACAGTAGGATGCTGTATTTCAAATAGTTTTAAGCCAAGAGAGCCAAATATCTTTGAAAGGTGTCTGGAGTCTATCTAGAGTTTCTGGATAAAAGGAAAATGGTATTAGGAGAAAAATACTTTACTTTTGCCATCTTTGAAAGGGAGGGATATATAAGGGAAAAAATTAAGAAACCCACAGAAACAAAAAAAAGTAAAAGTTCTTCTGCTTTAGGTCCTGGCATTCCACATTTCAGAAGGAGCAGGGTGGGGAAATCACACAATAAATACAGAGCCACCCCTCAGTAATGACTCTTCCAGGCATTTCTGCAGAAGATGCAGGAGGTAAATAAGTTGCTATTTAGCTTTGAGAGGATACAAAATCTTAATCAATTTAATCTTATTGGCAACATATCTGCTGGGAACTATTTCTTATTCAACAATGGCTCAAAAAGGAAGGAGGAGAGAAGTGAGGAAACTGCTGAATTGCAAAAGATCGGCACTTCACTCTTCTCACCTTGTGACTTCTTGATAGGAGTGAGAACAGACACTTTGATCAGATGCAGCTTCAAAGTTGCAAAACCATAACCAAAGTTAAGAGTAGCCCCAACTAAAGGGGAGAAAGAAGAGCAAGTGTGAAGCAAGTTGCTAGTCAGCATTCATGTTCTTGCTGACATCACTGAGCTAGAACTGACTCTGAGCAGCAATTCATTCATGGCCTACATGCACAGGCTGCAGTCACAAGAAATCATCACTTTCATGGTCCAGGATGACAAGAGGAGCAGAAGCATGAAATTACCTTCAGTAAGTACCTCAGTTTATCATTTGCTCAGTACTGTTGTCCATGGATGAGCAAACTGAACATTGGTCTACATGATGTAAAAAAGAAAAGTTGTATCAGAATTAAATAAACCAGTGATTCTCTAAGATTGGTAATTATCCTAATAGGTTCAACAACAACTAGCACTACTTCCATTGGAATAAACCATGCCCAAAATGCCAACCTTTGAACTAGTGATCAGGTCTCAGATGGAAGATGGCCAAAATCCACACTTTTGAAGAGTTCATATCTTGATACTTGTCCTCAAGACCTAAGATTTGTGCGAGGACACCAAAGATGTGATGGTCATGTTGCACTGTCACAGGCCACCAGGACTCTCTGCTCCAGCCAAGAAACCATAAATGCAGATATTGTCTGATAGAGCAGATGATAAAAGCTGACTGATATAGATGTTAGTTACTGGAAGAAAGTTGCAAGATGTATTTTACCTAAGACAAAAGTAAAATTTACCTTCCTTTAAAGAAAGATAACAAATAAGAAACCATTGCAGAGATCTGCATAAGATGTGTGTCAGTTTCCATAAAACTAATTATTTTTATGAGCAAACTTTCTTTAAAAATCTAAATGCATTTTTGAAGATTTAAACATTCATGAGAAGTTTAGAGACTGTTTCAAACTGTCTGTTATTTGTCAAATTTATTCTTTTAAAATAATGAAGATACTGAAATGTAAAATAGATGCAAAAGCCCCTAAAATTGTCAGCTTTTATCACTCAAAAATAACAGGCACATTGATTACTTAAAAATGTGTTAAATTTAATGTTAAATTTATTCCTGAACCTGTTGAGTTTCCAATATATGCTCTGATCATAGGCTTGACTATGTCTTCCCACCCATCTTAGAACATTAATCACTTCTGTTTTCTTACACCTAATATGGATGTTAGCAGAAAGCTTCCTAATCCTTTTGCACTTAGAACCGAGGTGATCTGTAGGTTCTGATGAAAGAAAACAACACACATTAACATATATCTATTTATAAATACATGTAAAACGCATGCTCCACTTAGCAACAGGAAAGAAAAAACCCACCCACCTCAGGTGAATCCTCTTTCAATCCGAAGGACTACCTCAGGTTTTCCCTTCTTTACAATCCCACCTTCAAACACAATCCCAACTCCTACAGACCTCAAGAGCAGATTTGCATATGCAAGCACAGGAGCAAGGGACACCTCTGGGCTTGATTAACCACCGGTGAACGGAACCTTTAACTTCACAACGAGCAAACAATGGACTAGTTGCACAATAAGTGTGTGCCAAAGCCTTCCATATTGGCTGCAAAAAAAATCACTTAAAACCCTTTCATCTGCAGCCACTGTAAAATCATTTTGGGGGTGGGGCCGAAAATCTCATCACTGAGGAAAACGACTCTACGTACAGGATGGAAAAAAAAAAATTAAGCATCAGCTTCATTACACAAACCAGCGAAAGGGTGAGGTCATGCCTGTGCCGGGCCATAGTTCATGCGACACTACAATTTTCCAGAGATACAATTTCATCGTCTTCCTAACTAATCGGAGGTTACTTTTGATACAGAGAAAACAAAAAGATACAATAGATTAAAACGTGCCCCACCTTTCTCCCCCCCCCCCTCCAGCCCCCTCCCCCTTTAGAGCCAGGGACACGAATTGTTTCGGAGCCCCACAGCGCCACCAGCACAGAGCAATGCAAAACAAAAAAGATCTCCCACCGGGTGACAAAAAAAAAAGAAAAGGAAAAAAAAGGAAAGAGCCTAGAAAAATGCCAAAAATTACAAAATGTCTCCCAAATGTACCTTCTTGGAGGAAAAAGAACAAACAAACAAACCACTCACACACACCGCCGAAAAAGAGCAAACAACCCCACACCAAGACATCTAAATGAAGTGTGGGGAAATAAGAACCTTTATATAACTAATGCTTTAAGCTAATTACCAGAAGAGCGCTAATTTGTAAATAAAAAGGTCACTGTTTAGTAAGAGACACAACTTAATATAAACCCTGTTATGTCCATCTCCACCTTCACCATACCAAGGGCAGTTTTCCCTCGTACTTTAGACCAAAGTAATCCATCAAGAGCCATCACAAATGGCATTGTAAACTCTTTTAGCCACCACCAGACCATACTGTAGCAACATAATGTTCTTCCTTACACACGAGAGCTGCATTATATTTATAAAGACAGTCACATATTTGGTCCTGGATCCGTTTATTACTCGGTAAAGAATTCCCCGCCCCCCCCCCCCAACAAAAACCTGGAACCCCCAAAAAACCCAAAACCAAACCAAGTCCATCTGGAAAATATTTAAGTTCTTATACTCTTAAACTGAAGTTAAATTGTTGTTAAGCTTCGCGTGTATAAAATTTTAAAGAGGAAAAAAAAACTGACTTCAGTAATTGTCGCTATTAAGGAGACACCGTTGGGTGGGATACACGAGATCAAAGCTATGAAAAATACAAGGCTACGTTTTGTTCATCAACACAACGAAACCCCCCCCCCGCACCAACACAAGCCAAAAACCCGCAGAAACGAATATTTTTGGTTAAAACCACAAACTTACCTTGGGAGAAGGCAGCCCTTGCAAAAGGGCTGTAACAATATGGACTGCATACTCGCTCTCCTACAACCAGCCATCTCCATGCTGCAAAGGGCTCCCCGAACATCCTTAAAATATTTCGCAAATGCAGAAAGTGAGACTTTTCTTTCTTTTTTTTTTTTTTCTTCTCTCTTCTTTTTTTTTTTTCTTTCCCTCCGTCACCCCGCCAGGATCGCCGGGTGAGGAAAAGGAGGCGGCTTCCCGAGGGTCGGCGGGCGATGCCGGCGGCGGGGCCGAGCCGGGGCGGGGACCCGGTGCCTCCGGGGTTCACAACTTTGCCGGGGCCGGCGGCGCCTCGATGGGCTCCGCGGGCAGCGGCGCCCCGCCCGCTCCCCCCCCTCCGCCGCCGCCTGGAAAAATGCAGTGTGCCATTTTTACACCCGCCTCTTGGAACACACAGGACCAAAGTCTAGCGCTGGTTTTCGGTTGACACTGCAAAATACGGCTCTCCCCGCGCAACCCCCCGCCTCATCCTCCCCCTCGAGAGAGAGAGAGAGAGAGAGCAGCCGCCTCTTGTAGAATTAATAAAGAAAGACAGCTGGAGAAAATAATTCCGAGACTTCGTCGTTTTCCCTCCGTCCCTCCCCCGCCCCCGCCCCCACTCCGAACCCGCAGCAAGTTTGTGCCGCCCGGCGCATCCCTCGGCCCCCCCGCGGCACCCCCGCCCCGCCCGCCGCACTCCGGCAGCCTCGCAGCATCCGAAAGAGCCAGTCATGCCTGGAACAAAATCCATGATTCCTGGAAAGTGGGGAGGCTGGAATCCCAACAAATACTCAATTTACGTACAATTATAAATACCTACCTTGTGAAAGAACTAAATTAACACTAAATTCAACAGATACATCCGTTACGGCAGGAATAGTTTTTCCATAAATACTGTTTTAAAAACCCCTCCTTATACTGACTGACAGAATTCTACCATGCTGCCCACAAACAAAATGGCTGTGGCACCGAGTTTTTTGGTTCCTCCCACTGTGCCTCCCCCTGGCCTCCAGGAAGTGGTAGAAATCCAAAATAAAATCCGCACGAAAAGTACAATACATCAGCCAAACTCCTCACGGTACCGTCAGACAGCAGCGGGAGGGAAGCACATTTACCAACATTGTACTTTCTCGAGGATTTTTATTGTTTTTAAAAGGGCATCAATCACTGGGAATTTACATCACTGTGTAATTTGAACTTCCTGCTTTACATATTTATAAGGTCTTTCACCTATCTTGGCAGGCTTTCAAATTAAGTGGGTTGGGAAATTTGATGCTGTGGCTCTAGTTTGCGAGCTGAGTCAGGTAGTCACTGCTGTAGCTGGGCTCTGAAAACACGGGTAAATTCTAACACCTTCGCTGTTCAGCGCAAGATAAAATTACCCCCCCAACATGTCACAGTGTCATAAGTGAACATGTAGGCACAGAGAGGCGCCTGGAGTGAGGATTCTCATCGGTAACTGAAATTTAGGCCTCTTGCAAATAAATACACATTTTGTAATATTTATAATTTTGCATCTGTGGTTCACTGTAGTCTGCCTTAACCATGATTTCTGTGGAAATTATCTTGGGTTTTCTCTTATTATGACCCTGTTTCATACCTTTAACTTTTTTGATGTTTACCTTAAAATGAAAATAAACAGGAAAATATAGCGTATTTATGTTAGAGATTATGACAAAAATGTTGATATGTGGTCCTCTATCTGATCCACCAGTCTTGCCAGGCAACAGCACAGCTCCTCTTGGCTGCTGCCTCATGGGCTCCGAAGGGCCTGATTCATTTCCCGTGAGAGTCCTTTTCCTGCCTTTAGGAGGAGTTACAAAGGAGACAGGCTGTCAGACCTGCTGAGCCTGATCCAGCCCCACATTAAAAGAATTAATATTCCCATCTACTGCTGTTCTAAACCTTTTTCAGAGCCGCTGAAAAAACAGTGAAATTGGTGATGTTTTTGCTGAACCACCTCATATTTCTAAGACTTAGATTAAAAAAAAAAAATCTGTGAAGAACTTTGAATGGCAAATTTTGCCATTGTTATAATTTATTTGTATTATCATGTTATCTAGCAGCCTTAATCCTGGACTATGATTATGGTGATATATTGTATAGAAATATAGGGCAAAAAGATAATTCCTGCCCTGAAGAGCTCAAAAGTGTAAGACAAAAGACAGCAGATGGCTACAGACAGATGAGGGAAACAATGAGACTGTATTGATCAGCCAGTAAGGCACAGTTTGTGACACACCATCAGCAGAACTCTTGTTTCTCTGTGTACTTCATGGCAAAGAAGACATAAGGTTGGATTTGATGAAAAAAATTAATCGGTTTTGTGGCTGTTGAAAGAAAACTCCAGCAAGAAGGACAGCATGGAAGAAAGCACAAAGATATTTGAAAAAGCAGCAGGTGAACTACAGAAGCCTAATCAAATTGTCATTAATTTTTTTTTTTTTGTAGTGACAGAAAATAGATAAGGAGGAAGTAGGCTATTGAGAGCATTGAAAATACAGATGCAAAGCTCATGTTTGATACAAGAGAGGCAATGAAAGGATCCAAAAGGCATGGTAGAAAGATCATAAGCAGGCCCGCTAGCAGTTAACAAGCCCTAGGAAAAAAAAGCGGGCAGTAGTTCACGTTATGTGGGCCTAAAGAGATGTAGCATGCTTTTTAAAAGTGTTGTTCTTAACCATGACTTTGGGGGGGTACGTGTAGAGTATCTGCACCTCCGTCCTAACTTGTATTTAGTGAATTCATGAGGACTACTCCTGGTGGTAGTGTTTATTATATGAACACCTTATTACTAAAGCGTCGCCTCAAAGTTGTTAGTATGAGTGGATAAGCACACAGGAAAATTGGGGTCAGAATAACCACACACACTGGGAAAGTTCCTCCTCCTATCACCTGGTTTTGGAGAAACCTTCATCTACCTGCAGTATTCCATGGCTTACTGTGTGTCTTACGCTAGCACAGGTGTGCCAGCGTATCAGAGAGCCCTCCGATATTTGGAGGAGGAGGTAGAAAGGGCTCCACTTTAGGGCACAGCTACATCCAGGAGAGCAAACCATGCTTTGGAAGAGTATGGTCTCATAGCTCATAGCCCTCTCAGGGCATTAATATGTTGCTGTAGGTTTTTAAAGACTTTTTTCTTCATTTTTCACATTTTGTAGTGGCATTGCAGCAATAGCAGGCACATATTTTCAAGTTCTTTGTCATTTTTTCGCACAAAATACCTTAGGTAACTTTGTATTTACTACAAGGATCTTAAGTATGTTGGCTGGCCATGCTATAACTTGGGACTAAACACTGCACAGTAAATAACCTCAGATGAGCTAAGCCTTGGTGAACGCCTGTGGAATTACTGTGGTGTGGCAAATGTGAAAGAATTTGACTGGATTCTTTTGTTGCAGCCTAAACTAAACTGAATGAAATGTCCTTCAGATCTGAGGCTTGCTAGTTCTATAGATAAGCTGATGTATGGTAACTGTTTAAACGAGGGTAATTTTCTCTCATATTTGATCAGTTTTAACTGAAAATAGTGTATATCAAATGCTGAATGTTAAGAATTGAGATTGGGATTGAAATACACATTGTGACTTTTTTTTAAAAGCTGAATAAGTGTTCCAAGAAAAGCCGAACAATATGTTCTCATACTTTAAGAATAACCCTCACTTGACTTGATGTCAAAATTCCCCAAATTTCTTACAGTTCAGAGTAATGCCAAAGAGCACCATCATCCATTCTGTACTCTTTTTTTTTTTTTTTAGAAGATTTATCCAATGTTTGGTGTGAATATCTGTCTTGAGACTTTGTTCAAAAACAGGGAAATAGAATATCTGTATAGGAACAAGGAAACAAATGAGCTATATTTTAGGATTTAGATTAATACAAAAAAAAGTGGCTAAACCTGATAACATTCAAATAACAGCTTCTTACTGAAATTAGTGAAACCACTTTTTACATTTAGCTTGCAGTATAATTGCTTTTATCATCCTTTATCTTTCATTTTCATTTATCTTTATCTTGCCTGTAAAGATATAACTCTATTGCCATATTTTCCAAGTAACTCTCTGTCTCTACACTTGTAATAAAAAAATTACACTGATCTTCTTTTGACAATGTTTTCTTGATGTCTTTAGGAAGTGAATTACCAGTCCTGTTAAGTCAGTAAATCATTAGGTAGATAGCAAGAGCTGAAGGATATCAAAGTGCTTTTGCAACTCATATGTAAATGATAATTTGTTTTCTTGCATTAAAATGGCATTGAACGCTTTTTGGTTGAAAGATCACCAAATGCATAAATAGTTTGCATTTTTATTCAATAGTTAATGTTCACATAGCTGCATGATTTCTATTGAAGAATCAAAAAGAATGATTTGCTGTAATTTGGAAAATTCATAAATTATAATATAACAATAGATCATTGATGCCTAACTGTACTATAAAGGAGGACACAGACTTCTCTAGCTTAATTCTTGTTTGACCCAGGTCAAATATTTTTTAAAAGCATGCAGTCTGGACTGAAAACATATAGTGGTAAAAAAAATCCACAAAATCTTCACTAAATTATTACAGTGATTATTTGAAATTTAACTTTAAATCACAGATTTTGTAACTTCTTAAACCTCTTATTTCTGTCTCTCTGTCCAAGTCCTGGTTTTGTTTGAGTATATAAGACTCACAAAATGTTATTATTTGTTAGGGTTGTTATGTGATTGTAGTGCTTCTCCAGTTTACCAGCAATCTTTGTTCCCCATGGTCCATGGATATCAGAAATAGGCAAAATATGCCAACAGCAGTTTCACTACTTGTCACATAATAAAGTAAAGCAACTCCCTGTATTTTTTAAGTATATCTCAAAATCTCATTTGCTTTCTTGCTGTATTACCATTACAGATACCCCTGTTCAGCAAACCATCCCTTTAATTTCTGTATTGTTTGCAGTAACCTCTTTTTGGTCATATCTTCTCACTGCTTCTCTCAGTAGGACTCAGCACTGCTCTCAGGACTTAACTTTTGCCCGAGCACTGATATCCCTGCTGCTCTGCTTGGGCCCACCTCAATAAGCTGATCTAAGTTGCCTTTTACCAATAACCCATTCACCACTATTGTCCTCTCACTCAAAGTCTGCAGCACCGTGAGCATCAGTAAGGATTTCTTTTCTCATTAATCTTGCTTTAAACAGTGTTTTTCTTTGCTTCAGACACTGAAGTTGTCCTGCTGACTTTGTTTCCTTGTGGTGCAACCCCATCTTCAAATAATTTATGACTAGGCCAAGTAGATTTAAGTTACAGTGTTGTCACAGTGTTGATATGTCATTCACCCTTTTCACCTCAGAAGTCCTACCAGTGACAGTTCTGGTGGTTTGGGGATGATTTTCAGTGACAAAAGCTGTGGAAAAAGAACTCAGTCAATATAGGGGAAAAAACAATTTGTTACAAAAATGTATGGAAGTTGTGAGTCTTTTGTAAATAAAAACCAGAAATAAGCCTCCAAAACATCTGTTGCTGTTGGCTGCCAAGATATGCCACACATCTTAGAGGATAACTTTTTCCCCCTTCCCTTATTTCTGTTGTATCTTTGTATGATGGTCTAGACGAAAGTACTTACTCAGATCCCCCGCACAGACTGATCAGCTCATAACCTACATCTTTTAAAGCATTAACAATCTTCTTCAGTTTTGGAAAGTATCTTCTGTTGAATGGTTGTAAGACTCAAAATGTGCTGTCCTTTCAGAATTAAATCTGTATCCACATGAAAAGTCCAATATGGTCATATACTTATTAAAAGAAAACTTTAGCCCCACCATGTTGGCACAGACGGATTAAAAAAAATCTGATCTTTTAGTTGTATATGTTTGTTTGGTTAAAGCTGATGAAGAAATACTGGGTGTTATTTCAGAATAAAGTCAGAAAAAAGTCTGGAAAAAAACCAAAAAGCCCACAGTGAAACTTGTCTTTTAACTTCGGCAACCACTTGATTGGGACTGTTCTGCATACTGTCCGCATCATGTGCTGATACTTGGAAGAGAAGCACACCAGCTTTGGGCCAGGTCTTGGAATTTCAGGTGGAAGGTTATTCAGTGCCTTTAAA